CCACAATGTCCAATCTGCTATACCCACACAGTTGTTTTACTTGACCACTCTACACAGACAGTAAGATGTTTTACTTGACCACTCTACACAGACAGTAAGTTGTTTTACTTGAACACTCTACACAGACAGTAAGTTGTTTTACTTGACCACTCTACACTCTACACAGACAGTAAGATGTTTTACTTGACCACTCTACACAGACAGTAAGTTGTTTTACTTGACCACTCTACACAGACAGTAAGTTGTTTTACTTGACCACTCTACACAGACAGTAAGATGTTTTACTTGACCACTCTACACAGACAGTAAGTTGTTTTACTTGACCACTCTACACAGACAGTAAGTTGTTTTACTTGACCACTCTACACTCTACACAGACAGTAAGTTGTTTTACTTGACCACTCTACACAGACAGTAAGATGTTTTACTTGACCACTCTACACAGACAGTAAGATGTTTTACTTGACCACTCTACACAGACAGTAAGTTGTTTTACTTGACCACTCTACACAGACAGTAAGTTGTTTTACTTGACCACTCTACACTCTACACAGACAGTAAGTTGTTTTACTTGACCACTCTACACAGACAGTAAGATGTTTTACTTGACCACTCTACACAGACAGTAAGTTGTTTTACTTGACCACTCTACACTCTACACAGACAGTAAGTTGTTTTACTTGACCACTCTACACAGACAGTAAGATGTTTTACTTGAACACTCTACACAGACAGTAAGTTGTTTTACTTGACCACTCTACACAGACAGTAAGTTGTTTTACATGGACACTCTACACTCTACACAGACAGTAAGTTGTTTTACTTGACCACTCTACACAGACAGTAAGATGTTTTACTTGAACACTCTACACAGACAGTAAGTTGTTTTACTTGACCACTCTACACAGACAGTAAGTTGTTTTACATGGACACTCTACACACAGACAGTAAGTTGTTTTACTTGACCACTCTACACAGACAGTAAGTTGTTTTACTTGACCACTCTACACAGACAGTAAGTTGTTTTACATGGACACTCTACACTCTACACAGACAGTAAGTTGTTTTACTTGACCACTCTACACAGACAGTAAGATGTTTTACTTGACCACTCTACACAGACAGTAAGTTGTTTTACTTGAACACTCTACACAGACAGTAAGTTGTTTTACTTGACCACTCTACACTCTACACAGACAGTAAGATGTTTTACTTGACCACTCTACACAGACAGTAAGTTGTTTTACTTGACCACTCTACACAGACAGTAAGTTGTTTTACTTGACCACTCTACACAGACAGTAAGATGTTTTACTTGACCACTCTACACAGACAGTAAGTTGTTTTACTTGACCACTCTACACAGACAGTAAGTTGTTTTACTTGACCACTCTACACTCTACACAGACAGTAAGTTGTTTTACTTGACCACTCTACACAGACAGTAAGATGTTTTACTTGACCACTCTACACAGACAGTAAGATGTTTTACTTGACCACTCTACACAGACAGTAAGTTGTTTTACTTGACCACTCTACACAGACAGTAAGTTGTTTTACTTGACCACTCTACACTCTACACAGACAGTAAGTTGTTTTACTTGACCACTCTACACAGACAGTAAGATGTTTTACTTGACCACTCTACACAGACAGTAAGTTGTTTTACTTGACCACTCTACACTCTACACAGACAGTAAGTTGTTTTACTTGACCACTCTACACAGACAGTAAGATGTTTTACTTGAACACTCTACACAGACAGTAAGTTGTTTTACTTGACCACTCTACACAGACAGTAAGTTGTTTTACATGGACACTCTACACTCTACACAGACAGTAAGTTGTTTTACTTGACCACTCTACACAGACAGTAAGATGTTTTACTTGAACACTCTACACAGACAGTAAGTTGTTTTACTTGACCACTCTACACAGACAGTAAGTTGTTTTACATGGACACTCTACACACAGACAGTAAGTTGTTTTACTTGACCACTCTACACAGACAGTAAGTTGTTTTACTTGACCACTCTACACAGACAGTAAGTTGTTTTACATGGACACTCTACACTCTACACAGACAGTAAGTTGTTTTACTTGACCACTCTACACAGACAGTAAGATGTTTTACTTGAACACTCTACACAGACAGTAAGTTGTTTTACTTGACCACTCTACACAGACAGTAAGATGTTTTACTTGAACACTCTACACAGACAGTAAGTTGTTTTACTTGACCACTCTACACAGACAGTAAGATGTTTTACTTGAACACTCTACACAGACAGTAAGTTGTTTTACTTGACCACTCTACACAGACAGTAAGTTGTTTTACTTGACCACTCTACACAGACAGTAAGTTGTTTTACTTGACCACTCTACACAGACAGTAAGTTGTTTTACTTGACCACTCTACACAGACAGTAAGTTGTTTTACTTGACCACTCTACACAGACAGTAAGTTGTTTTACTTGACCACTCTACACAGACAGTAAGTTGTTTTACTTGACCACTCTACACAGACAGTAAGTTGTTTTACTTGACCACTCTACACAGACAGTAAGTTGTTTTACATGGACACTCTACACTCTACACAGACAGTAAGTTGTTTTACATGGACACTCTACACAGACAGTAAGTTGTTTTACTTGACCACTTTACACAGACAGTTGTTTTACTTGACTACTCTACACAGACAGTAAGTTGTTTTACTTGACCACTTTACACAGACAGTTGTTTTACTTGACCACTCTACACAGACAGTAAGTTGTTTTACTTGACCACTTTACACAGACAGTAAGTTGTTTTACATGGACACTCTACACAGACAGTAAGTTGTTTTACGTGACCACCCTACACAGACAGTAAGTTGTTTTACATGTGCAGTTTACACAGACAGTAAGTTGTTTTACTTGACCACTCTACACAGACAGTAAGTTGTTTTACTTGACCACTCTACACAGACAGTAAGTTGTTTTACTTGAACACTCTACACTCTACACAGACAGTAAGTTGTTTTACTTGACCACTTTACACAGTAAGTTGTTTTACATGTGCACTCTACACAGACAGTAGGTTGTTTTACTTGACCGTTCTACACAGAAAGTAAGATGTTTTACTTGACCACTTTACACAGACAGTAAGTTGTTTTACTTGAACACTCTACACAGACAGTAAGTTGTTTTACTTGACCACTCTACACTCTACACAGACAGCAAGTTGTTTTACTTGACCACTCTACACAGACAGTAAGTTGTTTTACTTGACCACTCTGCACTCTACACAGACAGTAAGTTGTTTTACTTGACCACTCTACACAGACAGTAAGTTGTTTTACTTGACCACTCTACACTCTACACAGACAGCAAGTTGTTTTACTTGACCACTCTACACAGACAGTAAGTTGTTTTACTTGACCACTCTACACTCTACACAGACAGCAAGTTGTTTTACTTGACCACTCTACACAGACAGTAAGTTGTTTTACTTGACCACTCTGCACTCTACACAGACAGTAAGTTGTTTTACTTGACCACTCTACACAGAAAGTAAGTTGTTTTACGTGACCACTCTACACAGACAGTAAGTTGTTTTACTTGACCACTCTACACAGACAGTAAGTTGTTTTACTTGACCACTCTACACTCTACACAGACAGCAAGTTGTTTTACTTGACCACTCTACACAGACAGTAAGTTGTTTTACTTGACCACTCTGCACTCTACACAGACAGTAAGTTGTTTTACTTGACCACTCTACACAGAAAGTAAGTTGTTTTACGTGACCACTCTACACAGACAGTAAGTTGTTTTACCAGGAACACTGTAATTTTGCGGACAACCCCAAAAAGACATTCAATGGAGGATGACAAGATTCTAATTTTTAGAAGTGTCGGTCAACGCTGGAAAAATAAAAACAAGATAATGAAGGTAAAATCCAACAGTACGATAAAGACATGTGTCTTTCAAAGAAACCCAGTCTCCCAAACACGTAGGCTAATTAAACTCCATTAGTCTTACTACCACGTAAGCCAATTAAGTCCAATTAGTCTCTCTCCGCATGTCAGTAAGTCGAATTAGTCTCTCTCCCATGTCATTAACACTAATTAGTCTACCTCCCATGTAGGCTAATTAGGACCAATTAGTCTCCCTCCCACGTAGGCTAATTAAACCCCATTAGTCTACCTACCACATAAGCTAATTAAGGCTAATTAGTCTCCCTCCCCGTGTCATTAAGTTCACAACCTGACAGTTAACGATGTATGTGTACTATTAAACATCATGACACAGCGTGTGCTACAAGCGCCCTACTGCTTTACTTCTCACTCCACAAACTCTAGATAACAAAAAAAAAATCAAATTCCGTTTCAAGGTTGACCTTTACTTCAATATTTGACCTTGTTACTAATCAGCAATTGAAATCTCGGGCAAATTAATTTTTTAATGCGGCAATTTTATCTATGTTTTAAAAAATGTGTTACGCGTATATCAAAAACATTGTTCTCATTGTTCTGCCACCAACTGAAAATCTAACATCAAAATCGCTTTATGCAAGTCTCACTCGATTTCATGAGGGAGGGGGTAACGTTTAGATAACATGTCCTTCCGATGGGTTGTTGTTAATTCAATTGTCTTTTTTTTAAAGAAAAAATGTCCACAAATCAATAATAAAAAAGTATTCTGGTTTAATGTTTCATTTACACATACTTTGCGAGCAGTAACATTTGTAGCATTGTTTTGTAGTTCATTGTTCTGTGTAAATGGGTTTGTTATATAACGTTGTGTTGGAGGAGCAAATGTCCTATTATGTTTTACATCCCATGTTTACGGACCCAAAATTAAAGACAAACGTAAACGAAAGAACCACCGTTCTTTAAAAAAAAATAATTTCCGGAGCCTGTTATCAGTCACGCTCAACATTTCACCAAAGTTTTAATTAATGTCATTAGTCTTTTAATTACTGTCGTGACGTCGTGAAAAAAAAACAAGATAACAAAAAAACCGAGTCCCGTTACACAACTATCTTTAAACTCGCTGGAACTGGATTCACAGAGATAGCAGCAGCTTGTTCAGAAGCTCTCCGTTGTCTCGTTAACTTCCATCACCTCAACCATGTTGGTGCTAGCTACAGCTTTGGTGTCTCTGTTCTCCACAGCCCTCGCCATCAATGTCGGCGCCTTCAACATCCAACATTTCGGCGACACCAAGATGAACGAGGTGGGCAGTCAGATTGTCCGAATCCTCTCCCACTACGACATCGTGTTGGTCCAGGAGGTTCGCGATGCTGACCACACGGCTTTGAATTCCCTCAAAAACATGCTGGGCGCCGCCACCTGGGAATACGTCTCCAGCAACCCCATCGGCCGGACCGCCAGCTACAAGGAGCAGTACGTGTTCTTTTACAAGAAGGCCTCCGTCCACATTCTGGGCCAATTCCAGTACGACGACTCCGCCAGGGATGTCTTTGAGCGGGAGCCGTTCAGCGTGGAGATCCAGTACCACTCGGCCACGAAGAACAAGAACGTCAACGTGGTTCTGATGGGGATTCACACTCAGCCAGAGAAGGCGTTTGAAGAATTACAGGTGGGTGGTTTAATAACTAGTTGGGGCTTTTATTACAGGTGAATTTTTAATTGCAGGTGAGTTTCAGGATATCAGGTGAGTATTTTAGTAGAGGCTAGTATCACATTCCAGGTAAGTACTTTATTACAGGTAAGTATTTTCAATACATGGAAGTAATTGAATTAAAACCAAGTGCTTTTACTATTACTATCTTCTAATAATAACTGTAATCGTAAAAAGACCGGAAACTAGTATCGCTACTATAACCCTAACCCTATACTCGATCTTTTTTGCTAATATTAACTTCAAATATTGCGAGACACCAGATATCAGATTTTTTTCAATAACAAAAATAAATCACACAAAATGTTGTTGTACCAAAAAAGAAAACTTAATTGTCGACTGTCATTGTGATTTCTCTCTACTTGCGTCACAATTTTCGCGACAACTTTCATTGGGTGAGGTTTTTTTTTAAAACGTTTTTCTTAACTCAGCTTCGCGTGTGTTTGTTGTTAAAATTGACATCGAAAATTAACCCACTTCTGATTGCTCTATAGATCTGAAATTTGGCATGCAGGCTACTTTCGCCTAACAATTTCAGATGCAATCATAAAAACTAGCAATTAGAGACCGTAATTAGCTTAATTTAATTACGCCCGAAGGACCATAAAATTGAGGACATGATTTCTAAAGATACCGACAAGACTGAAGGCCTATTGACACAGTTACTTCGGCCCCAATCGATGTGAGCGCGCTGGCCGTGATCGTATAGTGGTTAGTACTTCGCGTTGTGGACGCGACAACCCAGGTTCGAATCCTGGTCGCTCAAGATTTTTAGTCCGTGTATTTATAAACACTTAGTCAAGTCATACTTAATCAAGTCATTGGATAAAGTAGAAAATAAACTATATAAAAAACTTTTTTTAAAAACCACGTTTTTCATGTGTAGCAACGGACTAAAAAGGAGAAAATAAAATACTTAAAAAAAACTTTTTAAAAAACCACGTTTTTCTTGTGGACGAAAAAGTATAAAATAACTATTTACATACATTTGATGACAAAAAACGTGGGTCGGGCAGATGGGTCGGGAAATTTGATGGTGAACGTACCCACGTTTTTTGTCATCAAATGTATGTAAATAGTTATTTTATACTTTTTCGTCCACAAGAAAAACGTGGTTTTTTAAAAAGTTTTTTTTAAGTATTTTATTATCCCATGTATCCGGCCAACAACAATACTCATCTCCGTGTAAAAAAACAACTCGCTGAGCCGTTTCCTCGTCATCTCCATGTCCTACAGTCATGTCCTCACATGAATGTTAGTCGAGTGGTCTAGTCGTTAACACGGCGTCGTCCGGTCATTGCAGTATAGGCGCAGCGCGGATGTCAGTTTAATTTTAGCCAACTGGCAACATTCAATAATAGGATTTGATATTACAATTAGTTTATTTAAAGATAAATACATTAGTGGAGAGACTAGACCGGCATTGACGTCAGTGACTTTTTAGACAGACTTTGATATCGTCGGTAAAATAAATGTTTGACAATGTCCTATACCCCTCCCCCCCTCACTTATGAAATATGTTCACAAAAAGTCGGTTACTACCCTCTCCCCTCCAAAAATGACAACACACCTAAACCTTGTACTCACCACAAAACTGCAATATTTATCCGTAAAAACGGAGATTAGTTAATTTTTTTTTTTCAACAAGTGTATTAAAAAAATTCAGTTTAAAAATTTATTTTTTAAAAATGAAAATGTCTGACGACACATTTTTGAACCCCCTCTCCCCCGACACACACACACACTCTCTCTCACACACACACTCACTCGCACACACACACACTCACGTACACTCACACACACTCACACAGATACACACTCACTCTCTCACACACACACTCACACACACACTCTCACTCGCACACACACACTCACGCACACTCACAAACACTCACACACTAATACAAACACTCACTCTCTCACACACACACACACACTTCTTTCCTGTCGTTACACATGGCCATACATGTCCTTATTAGTGTTAAGTCATTTAAGTATGGCTTTCTTTTCTAACAGTGCTAACTCTGGGTCGTTGACTGGGAGGTTCTATCATGATAGTTGTCTAACGGTACCCCACTCTAGATCCCATATGGACTGAGACTTTCTATCATGATAGTTGTCTAACGGTACCACACTCTAGATCCTATATGACTGAGACTTTCTATCATGATAGTTGTCTAACGGTACCACACTCTAGATCCTATATGACTGAGACTTTCTATCATGATAGTTGTCTAACGGTACCACACTCTAGATCCCATATGACGGAGACTTTCTATCATGATAGTTGTTTAACGGTGCTACACTCTAGATCCCATATGGACTGAGACTTTCTATCATGATAGTTGTCTAACGGTACCACACTCTAGATCCTATATGACTGAGACTTTCTATCATGATAGTTGTCTAACGGTACCACACTCTAGATCCCATATGGACTGAGACTTTCTATCATGATAGTTGTCTAACGGTACCACACTCTAGATCCCATATGGACTGAGACTTTCTATCATGATAGTTGTCTAACGGTACCACACTCTAGATCCCATATGGACTGAGACTTTCTATCATGATAGTTGTCTAACGGTACCACACTCTAGATCCCATATGGACTGAGACTTTCTATCATGATAGTTGTCTAACGGTACCACACTCTAGATCCCATATTGACTGAGACTTTCTATCATGATAGTTGTCTAACGGTACCACACTCTAGATCCCATATTGACTGAGACTTTCTATCATGATAGTTGTCTAACGGTACCACACTCTAGATCCCATATTGACTGAGACTTTCTATCATGATAGTTGTCTAACGGTACCACACTCTAGATCCCATATGGACTGAGACTTTCTATCATGATAGTTGTCTAACGGTACCACACTCTAGATCCCATATTGACTGAGACTTTCTATCATGATAGTTGTCCAACGGTACCACACTCTAGATCCCATATTGACTGAGACTTTCTATCATGATAGTTGTCTAACGGTGCCACACTCTAGATCCCATATTGACTGAGACTTTCTATCATGATAGTTGTCTAACGGTACCACACTCTAGATCCCATATTGACTGAGACTTTCTATCATGATAGTTGTCTAACGGTACCACACTCTAGATCCCATATGGACTGAGACTTTCTATCATGATAGTTGTCTAACGGTACCACACTCTAGATCCCATATGGACTGAGACTTTCTATCATGATAGTTGTCTAACGGTACCACACTCTAGATCCCATATTGACTGAGACTTTCTATCATGATAGTTGTCTAACGGTACCACACTCTAGATCCCATATTGACTGAGACTTTCTATCATGATAGTTGTCTAACGGTACCACACTCTAGATCCCATATTGACTGAGACTTTCTATCATGATAGTTGTCTAACGGTACCACACTCTAGATCCCATATGGACTGAGAGTTTCTATCATGATAGTTGTCTAACGGTACCACACTCTAGATCCCATATTGACTGAGACTTTCTATCATGATAGTTGTCTAACGGTACCACACTCTAGATCCCATATGGACTGAGACTTTCTATCATGATAGTTGTCTAACGGTACCACACTCTAGATCCCATATGGACTGAGAGTTTCTATCATGATAGTTGTCTAACGGTACCACACTCTAGATCCCATATGACTGAGACTTTCTATCATGATAGTTGTCTAACGGTACCACACTCTAGATCCCATATGGACTGAGACTTTCTATCATGATAGTTGTCTAACGGTGCCACACTCTAGATCCCATATGGACTGAGACTTTCTATCATGATAGTTGTCTAACGGTACCACACTCTAGATCCCATATGGACTGAGACTTTCTATCATGATAGTTGTCTAACGGTACCCCACTCTAGATCCCATATTGACTGAGACTTTCTATCATGATAGTTGTCTAACGGTACCACACTCTAGATCCCATATTGACTGAGACTTTCTATCATGATAGTTGTCTAACGGTACCACACTCTAGATCCCATATGGACTGAGACTTTCTATCATGATAGTTGTCTAACGGTACCACACTCTAGATCCCATATTGACTGAGACTTTCTATCATGATAGTTGTCTAACGGTACCACACTCTAGATCCCATATGGACTGAGACTTTCTATCATGATAGTTGTCTAACGGTACCACACTCTAGATCCCATATGGACTGAGACTTTCTATCATGATAGTTGTCTAACGGTACCACACTCTAGATCCCATATGGACTGAGACTTTCTATCATGATAGTTGTCTAACGGTACCACACTCTAGATCCCATATTGACTGAGACTTTCTATCATGATAGTTGTCTAACGGTACCACACTCTAGATCCCATATGGACTGAGACTTTCTATCATGATAGTTGTCTAACGGTACCACACTCTAGATCCCATATGGACTGAGACTTTCTATCATGATAGTTGTCTAACGGTACCACACTCTAGATCCCATATGGACTGAGACTTTCTATCATGATAGTTGTCTAACGGTACCACACTCTAGATCCCATATTGACTGAGACTTTCTATCATGATAGTTGTCTAACGGTACCACACTCTAGATCCCATATGGACTGAGACTTTCTATCATTATAGTTGTCTAACGGTACCACACTCTAGATCCCATATGGACTGAGACTTTCTATCATGATAGTTGTCTAACGGTACCACACTCTAGATCCCATATGGACTGAGACTTTCTATCATGATAGTTGTCTAACGGTACCACACTCTAGATCCCATATTGACTGAGACTTTCTATCATGATAGTTGTCTAACGGACCACACTCTAGATCCCATATTGACTGAGACTTTCTATCATGATAGTTGTCTAACGGTACCACACTCTAGATCCCATATGGACTGAGACTTTCTATCATGATAGTTGTCTAACGGTACCACACTCTAGATCCCATATTGACTGAGACTTTCTATCATGATAGTTGTCTAACGGACCACACTCTAGATCCCATATTGACTGAGACTTTCTATCATGATAGTTGTCTAACGGTACCACACTCTAGATCCCATATGGACTGAGACTTTCTATCATGATAGTTGTCTAACGGTACCACACTCTAGATCCCATATGACTGAGACTTTCTATCATGATAGTTGTCTAACGGTACCACACTCTAGATCCCATATTGACTGAGACTTTCTATCATGATAGTTGTCTAACGGTACCACACTCTAGATCCCATATGGACTGAGACTTTCTATCATGATAGTTGTCTAACGGTACCACACTCTAGATCCCATATGGACTGAGACTTTCTATCATGATAGTTGTCTAACGGTACCACACTCTAGATCCCATATTGACTGAGACTTTCTATCATGATAGTTGTCTAACGGACCACACTCTAGATCCCATATTGACTGAGACTTTCTATCATGATAGTTGTCTAACGGTACCACACTCTAGATCCCATATTGACTGAGACTTTCTATCATGATAGTTGTCTAACGGTACCACACTCTAGATCCCATATTGACTGAGACTTTCTATCATAATTCTTTTCTTAGGTTTCAATTTTCAAATCTTAGTTATGTATATAAAATCTATCTAGGAAAATATATGATTGATATTAATTGTTTCTTTATACAAAAAACTCTTGCCTGTAAATAACATTGTTTTATATTGGTTGTCGCGCTATCTCTACATGGGCGCTGGGAAAATTTTACTTAACTTCATCTGTCTATGAAAACAATCTTTCTTTTAATTATTTCATATAATTAAAGTTACTTATAGGTAAATATTACTAAGTGAAATGTTACGGAGTTTCAAAAACGTTGAATCGATAAGAATGCGATAAGATTTTAGTTCATCGAAAAATATCGGTATTATGTCAGTTATGTTCGATAATTTTTGTCAATAACGATGAATGGTTAACGTTAGGATTTAGATCTTTTACAATACTTATATCAATGGGTAGACTTCGAATCCAACCCAACTCAAATCAAGTGAATAAAAGAGCGTTTAGACCCGCTTAGTCCCAATAAAATGTTGGTATTTGATAAAACAAATTTGTAGAATTGCCTCTTTCTTTCATCCCATCATTATGCAAATTTAAACCGTACCGGTCACAAGAAAACGACACACTCTCTTATAATACTCAAATTTAGATTCATGCTTCAAAACTTCTTCTTCAAAAATAATTTTAAAGTTGGAAGGGATCCCCCCTCCAACGCAATTAAGGATACGTGTCAACTGGTTATGCGCCATTGAGGCGCCATGTTTGAATTTGCTTCCATAGCCTTTGTCCAACCAAGTACAAACTACAAGGCCGCTGTTGTTTGATTTTTGGGGTGTTTCTCCTAAAAGAGTGGCTGTCCTTACCTAATGAGCTTCATCTGCCCGAGGGTTCGAACTCGAGGCTTTTCGGTTTAGCAACCATGAGCTTTACCGACTCGGCCATGCCAACCACCTGCTTCAAAACAAATCACATGATTTATTTCACATAAATAATTTTTTTCCCTCTACCTCAGGCCCTGCCAGGGGCGATGACCACGGCCAAAAACCACTTCTCTAACGCCGCCGGCATAATCTCCATGGGAGACTTCAACGCCGACTGCAGCTATCTCAGTGCCAGCCAACGGGCGTCTATGGAGCTCTTCACTGCTGCCTCGTACAAGAGCCTCATCTCGGACAGTATCGATACCACGGTGGCTACCACCACCGATTGCGCGTACGACCGAATCGTCGTTCAAGCTAACGGAGACGTCGTGGCCGACAGCGCCAAAGTGTATAGATTCGATACCGCCCTCGGCCTGACTGCCGATACTACTAAGGCTGTGAGCGATCACTACCCAGTGGAGTTCAGGTTGAATTAAAAAACTTGGTATCGATGCTGATAATGATGGGTTAAGGAAAATTGACTGGACTCGATACACATTCGTTTAGCTTTGGTTAAAAGGTTATTGATAATTTACTGTACACATTTTAAAATAATTAAATCGATACAAAAGCAACTGAGTTTTTTAAATTAAATTGTTAAACGTTCTAAGTGATTATGTTTAGATGAATGTTTCTCAACTGTATTTGGAAATCTGTTGTGTTAGATGCAACAAGATACCATATGATTATGATCGTTTAGTACTATAGTAGTTGATTTAGCAAGCTTTTCTAAGTAGCGTAGAATAGAACAAGACATTTTTTTTTTAAAAATCGAAAATAATACTTCAACTATTGAGTTAACGTTTTAAGGGGCAGCACCCTTCCCCAGGAGAAAACTGTCTAAAAGAAACTCTGCTTGTAGGTCATTTGGAGGTCAAAGTCAGGTCACACTGAGGTCATTGCTAGGTCGTGCTGTTTTAAGTACCTGCTTCTAAATCGCACCCGGTGTGTAGAGGAAGCTTGAAAAAAAATATCGAAACAAATTAATGCAAGGGTACAAAATATTTTTTGTCGAAATATATTTTTTTTGTGTGTGTCGAAATATCGTGATGTTGTTGGTGAGATATCGGGATTTTGTTGGTGAAATATCGTAAAGTATTTTAAGACGTTGTGAAAACTAGTAAACGCTAATAAAACAAAAATAATTGACACACACATAAAAATTAATACATGTTTTCATCTCCCTCATGCATGTCACGTGAGCTAAACTCAGTTTTTTTTTTCAAAGTGGAAAACTAGTTGGTGTTTTGTTTTGTTCCAAAAGGTCACATCCGGTGTCACTTGAAACTGCTCACTCTGACACATGCAATGAAATACGATTAGTGAAACTGTTATTGTTAAGGGGTTTATTTAGGGATGGGTGAGATTGTTTTTAAAATATCAAAAACTTCAGTTTTAAATGTTTAGACTTGCATATGGTCAAAGTTTCTTTAAAGAAGGGGGGGGGGGGAAGAGAAATAGAAAAAAAAATGTAGAAAATATATTCTTTACCCTATGTGCGCCCACCCCTGGAAATTTTCAGTGCCCCTTTCGTTTCAAGTGCGCCCAGAGTTTCTTATAGGCATCTCTTCGGGGGGGGGGGCAAAGCACCCCCCCCCCCCCCCGAAAAAATTCTACCGTTCCCCCGAACGAAATGAAATTTATATAATTTATATAGAAAATATATACTTTTAATAGTGTTCACCCCCCCCCCCCGATAAAAAATCCTACCGCCCCCCCCCCCCCCCCGAAAATTTCAAGTGCCCCCCCACCCCCCGGAGAAAAAAGTCTGGAAGAAACACTGAGTGCGCCCCCCTCCCCCTCGAAGAAAATGTCTGGAAAAAAAACTCTACTTTTGGCTTTTTTCAAAGGACACAGTTCGATCATCCCAACCCCCCCCCCCCCCCCCAACCCCCCCCACCCACACGTGTAGTCCACGAAGAGTGCCGTACATCGGGTTGCTTATGTTATTTAGTTGACCTCATACCGGCTAAAGGACTGGGATAAAAGAAAGTACTTTCTTCCCCACACATGGCATGGGACAACTAGCAAAAGAATTCAAGATCCGACATTTACTGTTCATGCCAGGACTTCCGGTTAGATCTTAAAATTAACAGCTGTTGGTTTTATATCCCTCTGGACCAGGGGTCGGCAACCTTTTGAAGCGGAAGAGCCAAAAGTTACAATTTTCAAAATTTCCCTGGTTTTAAAGAGCCACTAACATTTTTTTATTTCAAATATTTTATCTTTTGATTAAGATTATTAGTATTTGTGCAAGGAGCTGGAGAGCCGCATCTTGATATCAAGGGAGCCGCATGCGGCTCGCGAGCCGCAGGTTGCCGACCCCTGCTCTGGACCATCAGATCTAAGACCATATTTATTTACTAAGGAAACGCTCAATTAGATTTAGCTGCTTTAGATTTGTTGTGATCTTAATCAGGTCCGAGTATTTTACAAGAGGTGTTATCAGTTGGGCAGGCAGGATTTTGTTATGAGACGGCTGTTATTTAGCGACGGTGTGGTCGAATGGTAGAGCTAACGACTGATAACCCGAAGTCTCAAGTTTGGATCTTAGGCTCGAGTCTGTAGGACGCCCCTGTGCCGATACAACTCTGATGGGTACCTGGCTCACCTTAGAGAAACTAAAGCGGCTGGGCATAGTGCCGACCACACTATCCCCTATATGCCGAGGGTATTAAAAAAGATGAACTCTACTTCACCTACTCATGTGTGATACTTGCCTTCTCGTGGAAGCAACACCAACAGTACATTTTTTACTTACTTTATAACCAAAAAAAATTTACGAGATATAAATAGAAATACTGCTCATACTTTGTCAAAACGGACTTTTTGAGTTACTCACACACAACTGCACGAACGAATCAAGCCCGTGAGAAAATGAAATTCTTAATTAGGTTGGAGTTTTATTTTTATTCCCATCATCCCACATCCGGGCATGACGATGTAAATATTCAAATATCCCGTCAACAAGATATAAAAGATGGATTCGAGGGCCTAAAATCTGTTCAGTGATAGGCTAACGTGTAACAACCCTACGAAAAAACACTTTTATTTTGGAAGGGTAAGTTCAGTGTCTTTAAACTTAGATGTGAGAGTTTATTATTAGTCAGTGAGGGTCCTGTTATACTGAACAAAAATGCGTAAATGGGTGGATATAAGAAAAGGGAGTGGGGGTTTGCACGTTTCTAAATTGAAGTATCAACTATTTGAAGGTTTGTTGGTGACTTGCGAAGTTGAAGTCTCAAAGGTTATTACGTGTATTCGACAGTCAATTAATTTTAAGAAAAATATTTGAGATAAAAACAAGTCATTTAATTAAAGGATTGGCCAGCTAAAGACGTGGGACCTTCAGGGTTAGAATCAATCAAAGCAGGTAACATGGAGCTGGTCGGCGTTAACTTAACACTGGAACCTGAAGTTTAGTGTATTTTATTTCAACGAAACCGGTTGTGTTTAATTATGCATCGGTGAAAAAAATATTTCCGCCGCCAAAGATTAATTGTGATCGCTGCATCCTCTTTACTACTGAGAATTTGTTTCTAAGTAGGTCATGAGCAGCAGTGAAAACAGAGGTCAAAAGGTCCTAAGTACTTGAGCCATCTTGAGGCTACTGCCGCCCGCGCTAGTGTTGTGTAGGGAGCTGAGTTCCGGAAGTCACCGGAAATTAATTGTATTGTTTACCTTTTGTCAGCCCTACTTATAAATGTGTTTATGTGGATAGGTGGACTAGTACATCTTTTGACTCCGCGGTTGTAGAGCTCTGTTCGATTGAGTCGCAGATATTATAAGTTTTTAAATTTTAATTTGATGTCTTTTTCTTGACGAGTAGGTAAGAGTAGATTTAATTACTTCGGTTATTTATTACAGGATTGAAGGTAAAATAAGAGATTACAATTATTTTTGTTTTAAGTTAAGAATTTAAATACTGTCACGGTATTTGTAAAACTTAAAGCAATGTGAGAGATTATTAAATTATGTTTTTTTCTATAAGTTGCAGTAGGAGGACATGTGGTCTTTTTCAGAATTTCTTTCAAGTATCTTATCGGTGTGTGTGTGTGTAGGGGGGGGGGGAGGATGGGACTACAGCCTCGAACAAAGTAAACCCCCTACCACAAAAAAACCGAAATGAAAATTGAAAAAAAAATTATGTAGAAAATGGCTACTTTAACTAGTGTCGGACCCCATCCCGGAAATTTAAGTGTCTCCCCTCCCCTTCATTGGCTTCAAAGTAAGCAAATAATAAAGCATTTATAAGGCATAGACAAGCCTACAGTAGGCCCAGGTCCTCCGAAGGCTTAAGTTAACGGCTGTTGTAGCCTATTAGGGTTTGTGGTTATTATCATACAACTGATTCTAATCACCATACTGCGTTAGTCCATGCTTACCTGTAAAGTCGCTTATTTAGGCTATGTTATACTCTTGAACAGGATACTATAGTAAGTATAACTAAAGAAAACAGTGGAAAGTTTTAGTCTTTAGACCACCCGTATTAAGATTAGCCACAAACGGATATACACAATGTATAAACAGTTAACGTGTTTAGAGATTTGTGTCTCTTTAATTAAATCGTTACCTTTTATGAATTCCTGAAGTATAAATAAAACCATTCTTGTAAGTAGACTTGATAGTATACATTAAATGATTCGTGTTTATATACAAGTAATTAGCAATGTAAACTTACCCGTAAGTAGTAAAGGCTTAATTTAACAAATATTTTTGTATTGCCAAATCATGTGGTGGGGGATCAGTGTTAAGGCCTACGCCTATGTCAGTGTTGAGATCTGCGCCTATGTATTTGTAAAACATACATTTATGTGGTTTAGCCTTTGTATACGTCTGGTAAAAACAAACGGGTAGCGTCTTAACACGATGCTACATGGCCTCAGTAAGTCGAAGATTGTTGGAAGATAGGTTAATACCATCTTCGTTGGCAGGGCAATACATTTTGCTAATAGTAAAGTTGGCGTCGGAGTTTGGGTAAGGTTTAGAGTACCCGATCCTCCTTTTTAATAGAACATCAGTACTCCCTAAGGGGTCGGCGTGGTCGAGTCGGTAAAGCTCATGATTGCTAAACCGAAAAGTCTCGAGTTCGAACCCTCGGACAGATGAGGCTCGTTAGCTGGGGACAGCCACTCTTCTAGGAGAGACAACTCCAAAAATCAAACAACTGCTGCCTTGTAGCTTGTTCTTGGTTGGGCAAAGGCTATGGAAGCAAATCCAAAAAGAAAAGCAGGCTGAAATCGGAGTCAATGGCCTCAATGGCGCATAACAGTTGACACGTAACGCTTAATTGTGTTGGAGGCGTGGTCGAGTCGGCAAAAAGCTCATGGTTGATAAATTCGAACAAAGTCTCGAGTTCAAACCCACTGGCAGATAAATCTCGATCCCCTTCAACACTAATAATTAAGAACGAAGAAGGAGAAGAAGAAGTGCTCCCTACAAGCGGTCATACACGTACTAATTGTTGCAGTTACTTTTTTTTTTTTGCTTGTTGAAAGTTTTCCTCTCTTAACTTTTATTCCCCCCCCCCTCCCCCACAGCAAATCTTCACATCCGTGTCCTGCCGGTTGACCCCCACACGGATAGATCCATGGATGTGACGGATGTGACGGAGCCTCACGACTATCTGGAGCTTCGCGAGTCCCTGAGCTACTACACGGCTCCTACAGTTACCGGACCTTCGTCAGTGACCCACAACCTTTTCAACAACAGCACTTCGTTATTGAGAGAACGGTTGGTTAAAAACGAGAAAAATAACACAACGAAACAAACAGATTCACCAGACAGTCACATAGCGAACGAAAACATGCTAAACGGAGGTGAAAAGGTTTCGCCGTCTGCTGTCACGAGCGTCACTGATACTTCAAGGCCACTTCCGCCCACCGGAGGTCAAGGTAATGTGACTAAAGCGCCGCCGTATTATAATATTGCTGAAAACAAAACAAATCCGAAAGGCGTCGCGATGAATTCTGATGACGTAGATTCTAAAAATAAAACAAAGCAACAGGAAAACAGAAGACCGACGTATTCAAAGAATTTACAAAGCAGAAATGAGCAAGCTTTCAACTTCGAAGCAGATCATTATGACGTTTTACGTGGGACGGTCAACCCCAGTGAGGCCTATTTACAGTTCATGACCAACAGCGCAAGGATACAACGTCGTCAAGGCGTGAAGTGGTTTTTCCTTTATTTAACTGTTGTGTTGCTTGGATTCGGATCGCTCACCGGCGCTATTTTCGGCGGAATAATCGGAATCGGGGACAACGTACAGGAAAATATAAACACACAACTCAAAGAACTCAACGCCAACATCAGTGCCATGCTCAGTCATTCGCGATCTGATTTTTTAAACCACGTTAAAGACGTCTGCTTAAAGAACAAATCTGCATCGGACATTCGTTTCGTTTTCGGATCAAACTGTTATTGTTTATACCGAAAACGACTGTCTTGGTCACAGGCTAAAGATTTCTGTTTAAACGTCGGAAACGGGGTCTATTTTGCTGAAATTCATGACTCATTAACCAACGAGTTTTTAATGCCGCTTTTAACCGTTTCCCAGACTAATTTAGGAATCTGGTTGGGCGGAAGTGACCTTGAGAAAGAGGGCGTGTGGAAGTGGGCGACGTCTGGGGTGGAGATTGAGAAATTCAACCCCTCCCAGTGGGCGTGGAATGAGCCTAGCAACACAAGTCACCTGAAGCTGAGAGAGGACTGTTTGGATATCTGGAACTGGCAGGGCGGGAACTTCAAATGGAACGACCACGGCTGTGACGATCTGAAGCCGTTTTTGTGCATGTCCCGGCTTGAGAATGATGTGTGCTACTGTTAGTGGTGCACGGCTAGAGAGTGATGTGTGCTACTGTTAGTGGTGCACGGCTAGAGTGTGATGTGTGCTACTGTTAGTGGTGCACGGCTAGAGAGTGATGTGTGCTACTGTTAGTGGTGCACGGCTAGAGTGTGATGTGTGCTACTGTTAGTGGTGTCAGCTAGAGAGAGATGTGTGCTACTGTTAGTGGTGCACGGCTAGAGAATGATGTGTGCTACTGTTAGTGGTGCACGGCTAGAGAATGATGTGTGCTACTGTTAGTGGTGCACGGCTAGAGAATGATGTGTGCTACTGCTAGTGGTGTAAGGCTAGAGAATGATGTGTGCTACTGTTAGTGGTGCACGGCTAGAGAATGATGTGTGCTACTGTTAGTGGTGCACGGCTAGAGAATGATGTGTGCTACTGTTAGTGGTGCACGCCTAGAGAATGATGTGTGCTACTGTTAGTGGTGCACGGCTAGAGAATGATGTGTGCTACTGCTAGTGGTGTAAGGCTAGAGAGTGATGTGTGCTACTGCTAGTGGTGTAAGGCTAGAGAATGATGTGTGCTACTGTTAGTGGTGCACGGCTAGAGAATGATGTGTGCTACTGTTAGTGGTGCACGGGCTAGAGAATGATGTGTGCTACTGTTAGTGGTGCACGGCTAGAGAATGATGTGTGCTACTGCTAGTGGTGTAAGGCTAGAGAGTGATGTGTGCTACTGCTAGTGGTGTAAGGCTAGAGAATGATGTGTGCTACTGTTAGTGGTGCACGGCTAGAGAATGATGTGTGCTACTGTTAGTGGTGCACGGGCTAGAGAGTGATGTGTGCTACTGTTAGTGGTGCACAGCTAGAGAGTGATGTTGCTACTGTTAGTGGTGTACGGCTAGAGAGTGATGTGTGAATCTGAGTTCAAGTCAGTAGAATGTCCATGAGTCCACCTAGCTCTAATGGGTACCTAACTCACGTTAGGGAAAACAAAGGCGTCTGGGCATAATGCTGAGAACACTATCCCTTCATATGCCGAGGTCTCTAAAGTAGATAAACTCTACTTTATCTGCCTGTGTCTTGGGTACGAACAGGAAAAGATGATGAAATTTGGACTCGGGTCTACTGTGAAAGCATTTCTTAAAGGCCACGGTATTTCAATGAAGGGAGGCAAGCAGAGTTTCTTCCAGGCATCTCTTCGGGGGGGGGGGCAAAGCCCCCCCGAAAATTTTTTACCGCCCCCCCCCCCGAACGAAATGAAATTTATATAATTTATATAGAAAATATATACTTTTAACAGTGTCCGCCCCCCCGAAGAAAGTTTACCGCCCCCCCGAAGATTTCAAGTGCCCCCCCCCCGGAGAAAAAAGTCTGAAAGAAACACTGGAGGCAAGATAGAGAAGTCTTGGAAAACTTTTAGTGATATTAAACGGGTCTTATAATACTTTTTTTTAGACATACTGACTTGTGGAATACAAGAAAAATAATAGAACACACAGTTTAGATGTATTTACAAATGTAGTAATACAGATAATGCGAATTAAAAACGACGACACATTTTTGCCAGAGATTCTCATGCGGACGATCTAACATCTCTCGTGTGAATAAAACGCTCTTATAGTTGTGTAAATGAAAACAGAAGATGTTTTGCCGAACAAGAGACAGGTCAAGTGGTCACTTACCCAAGTGTCTCAAAGTTGCATAAGGTTTATGAAAGTATGTTTGAATGAGTTGTGATGACATCAATGAGCTAACCCAGCTCTTTTCGGGTATTTGGCATAATAAAATGAGAAACTACATGTTGTATTGCGTGGAAATCTGACTGCCAAAAAGACATTGATTTTATAGTTATTAAACGACCGAATTAAATGAAAATGGTATTTTTTATGGTTTTCGTTTGAGTTGAAAAATGCGAGATGAATGTTGATTACAAGCCTTTAATTGTTTTGTTGTTAGAATAACCTTTTTTTCTCTCTCTTTTTTTTTAAATTGTACTTTTTTAAATATTCCTGTTGGTGTAAATACTGAGCTCAATAAATAGTACAATTTGTTATTTATAGTTGGCCTACTTTTGGTGTTAACGGTGTCTTGCTGTTTTTGTTTGGTGTTACTTAGATACGCCTTGTGCTTATCTGTTACGCTTGGGTGGTTTCTGTTACCCAGTGCTGCTTACACTTTTATTGGATTTGAGAGTTTGTTCTTGAATAGCAGCATCCTTCAGGCTCACAGAGGCTAGATACAGCACACTACATTCCACAGCAACGTGAAAAATCATGTAATTTGTTCATTTACATTAATCCTACAATGATGTTGTCGATAATATTGTTTATTTAAACAGGAACAGGACGTTACGAATCGACAATAACCCCCCCCCCGTAATTACCCCCCTGTCTATTCCCCCCCCCCCCCCCCGCAGGTAGGACATTACCCCTCGGTCATAGCTAGGGTTTTAGTCTGGGCTAGGTCTAGGTCTAGGTCTAGGTCTAGGTCTAGGTCTAGGTCTAGGGTTAGGGTTAGGGTTAGGGTTAGGGTTAGGGTTAGGGCTAGGGTTAGGGTTAGGGTTAGGGTTAGGGTTAGGGTTAGGGTTAGGGTTAGGGTTAGGGTTAGGGTTAGGGTTAGGGTTAGGGTTAGGGTTAGGGTTAGGGTTAGTGTTAGGTTTAGGGTTATGGTTAGGGTTAGGGTTAGGGTTAGGGTAACGGTTAAGGTTAGGGTTAGGGTTAGGGTTAGGGTTAGGGTTATGGTTATGGTTATGGTTATGGTTATGGTTATGGTTATGGTTATGGTTATGGTTATGGTTATGGTTATGGTTATGGTTATGGTTATGGTTATGGTTATGGTTATGGTTATGGTTATGGTTATGGTTATGGTTATGGTTATGGTTATGGTTATGGTTAAGGTTAGGGTTAGGGTTAGGGTTAGGGTTAGGGTTAGGGTTAGGGTTAGGGTTAGGGTTAGGGTTAGGGTTAGGGTTAGGGTTAGGGTTAGGGTTAAGGTTAGGGTTAAGGTTAGGGTTAAGGATGGTTAGAGGAGGGGATAATGTCCTGTAGCCTATTTAAACATACCAACGTTAAACATACACATAAGTTACAATATGATATACCGTACGAATATAAAAGACAATTTGCCTACTGGTTAAAACAGAAGCTATTTCTTTTACATTTTGTTGAAATAGCTTCATCTCTAGAAGTAGTTTTCAGCAGCTACAGTTTTTGGTTTTATCTACAACCAACTAAGATAGGGGCCGATATGTAAAACCTTCATCATTAATTCAACCTTACGTTGAGAGATGTGAGCTTTTCAGCATCAGATCATTAAATAACAGTGGCGTAGCCAGGATCGTCTCAAGGGGGGGGGGGGTCCAATTTTTACCCGGGGACAAACTTTCGATTTGCACCCCCCTCAAACTTTCGATTTGCACCCCCCCCCCCCTCAAACTTTCGATTTGCACCCCCCCACTCAAACTTTCGATTTGCACTCCCCCCCCCCTCAAACTTTCGATTTGCACCCTCCCCTCAAACTTTCGATTTGCACCCCCCCTCAAACTTTCGATTTGCACCCCCCTTCATACTTTATATATATATACCGAGGGGTCAATGGGAGGGGGGTTATGACCCCCCCTAACCCCCCCTGCCTACGCCACTGTTAAATAAATATAATCACGTATGTATTCTGGAGTTCCGGAGTCAACGTATCCTACAAGATGGCGTCTCACCGCGTGACGTCAGCTGATGATATGCGTGACGTCAATAGATGAGCCCTGATTGGACAGCTCTGTTTTTATTAAATGAAATGAAATCCTGAATGCTAATGTCGTATCTACGCCCTCGGTGTTTAGTAGGTACTTGACCTACTTGGGAAGAAGTAAATAAGACTGTACAAGTTGACCTTCTACTCTCTAATCCGTGGTTCTAGACGGGGGGGGGGGGGCACTTGAAACTGTCGAGGAAGGAGGGGATATATATATATATATATATATATATATATATATATATATATATATATATATATATATATTATTTTTGGGGTGCGGGAGGGAGGGCGCACTTAATTTTTGTGTGTGGGGAGGGGGGGAAGACGGGACACTGGTTAAAGTTTATATTTTCTATTTAAAAAAAAATATATTTCGTTTAAGGGGTGGGGGGATGCCTGAAAGAAACTCCGTTTCTAATTGTCTATAGTTACAACCAGCACCGAGACGTTCTCCGCTGGCCATGTAACCATCATATGCAGCAGGTAAACAAACATTAGTAGACACGTACATAAAGTAAACGGATTCAATGGGTTATGATCTAGTTGTTTTAAACGTACCCCGGGTTTGAGCTATGGTTTGGATTAGGTTTAGCTGCATGCCACGGTGATACAGCTAACCATAACGAGAGGTTGGGCTAAGTCTTCAGAGGCAACCAATGCAAATCGCATCCTTGATGTTCAACTACAAACAACAACACACTCCACGGTACTTACAGCCCATTAAGAGCGCAACGCACCAGCTCCGTTTTGACAGGAAGTCGGTTAAAACTCGACTATATCAGCTTGTCCCTGAATTTATTTTCTTTTTGAAGATCATCTCTGAAAGTAAGTGCATTTTATACAAACGTCTTTTTGTGCTTTCTTTCATGTTGTTATTCTCTCAAATTATTTTTGAAAAAAAAATTGTGTTTCAAAATACATTTTTGAAATTAGTTTAAAATACTGTTTTACCTCGTACACTTTAGTAACAAGATATGGAGAATAAAAATTAGCTTACACTGAAGTGCAAACATACACAGACTATACAACTCAACCAGGGGAGTAGCTAGAGAAGGAGTAGCTAGAGGAGGGTGGTCGGGACGGCCCCCGGGCGCGGACCTTAGAGGCCGGTGTGTAGTCCGAACTAAGTCCCTGGGTCCACCCAGCTCTGACGGTTACATCCCTTCAATACGTAAATAGAGCGTCAAGCATATCCATTTTCAACCCCTTAATAAGACATTTATGAGAATCTGGTATTTTCCAGGTGCTACGGTACCAGAGCTATCTCCTTACCATCACCAAATTTTAATTTTGTCTATAAGTGGTCGATCTAATTCAAGCTATTTAAAAATATTGAGTTCACATAAGGCCGCGTTTAGTCAAGCTCAGGTTTCGATCAAGGGATTGAATTTTATTTTTACCAAGAGCAATTCCTCTGATATTGGTCTAGAAATACCCGATCTAAAACAGGTGTGATTAGCAGACAGGACCACTTCTATTATATATATATATATATATATATATATATATATATATATATATATATATATATATATATATATATATATATATATATATATATGTATGTATATATACAAATGGGGGCGCAGAATAGATAGTTCGCACTGGGCGCAGGAATGGGTAGCTACGCCAGTGAACACAATAGCGAGCTATCCAATGAACTAACACTTCGGTTTGTCTGGACCCTTTATAGAGTCTGTAGGCGTACACTATTCAGTAAATGTTAACTATGTTTTATAACGAACAGCCTGGGCAACAAGCATCAAATGGAAGAAGATTTCTTCCCCATTGCGAGTAAAGTCCGAACTTAGCCAAATGATATACAATTTATATCTCTACTTAATAAAAACATCACAATAACAACCAGTATTATTTCTTTTATTTTTCGCAGTAGTTTTTCCCAAGGCTAATCCGGGTATACAACTAACAATGAGTAGATCATCTCATCTTGACGTCCAAGACAAGCTGAGTTATTACGCAATGTCCAACATTGAAATGGTACCAATAGCAGCTGCTGAAGAGGGACAAAACATGAAAGAAGAGAACGTACACGACCAAAAAGATCATCAAAAATCCGTAACAGACAACTCTAATGGATTTAATAAGAGTGAAGTGTCAATGGTTGCCATGGCAAAGCCGTTGGGTTTAAATAATACAAAGTCCAGACAACTTCCGCCAGACGGAGGTCAGCATGTCTTGGACAGTGTTACTCCTGGAACCAATACACATATCTACTACAATTCGCCTGAACACACGACAGCGCCAGATAATCTACACGTAAACAACGCTAAAATAAGAACTACCAACCCTGAAGTAAGAGCGCCCCCACGCTCAGAAAAACCAGCCGCAAGAATACAGGACGTAATTGACGCTGAGACTTATAAAAAATTCGCCAACGACGATGACCATTACGACGTCTTGCCGGAGCGCGTCAACTCCCCCACAGCATACCAGGGGTTTACATGCAACAGAAAAACACAACGCCGGCACAGTGTTAAAAGATTCCTTCTCTACCTGAGTCTCATCGTGTTGGGAATCGCATGTTTCACTGGCGCTATTTTTGGCGGGATGGTCAGCGTTGGACGAGGTTTTCGAACCAACGTAGACACGCAGATTAGTAAACAAACCACTGAGTTGTCGGCTATGTTGAACGATTCTCAGCGTACGTTGATGCACGGAATTACAGTCGCATGTGGAAGGAACCAGTCTGCTTCCGATCTAAGGATAGTAAACGGCTCGTATTGTTACTGTCTATACAGACAAAAGCTGTCGTGGCCTGGTGCTAGGGTGTACTGTTCAAATATGGGCAACGGGGTACACTTCGCGGAAATTTACGACAACATCACGAATAATTTATTAACGAAAATACTCACTGTTTCCGATCTGCCATCGGGTGTCTGGCTTGGTGGTAACGATCTGGAGGAAGAGGGCGTCTGGAGGTGGGAACACTCGAATAAAAAAATAGAACTATTTTCACCCTCGCAGTGGGAAGACGACGAGCCGAGTAACACTAGTGGCAGCACAAAGGAAGACTGCCTAGAGCTCTTCAACTGGCGGAGTAATACTTTTAAATGGAACGACCACGCGTGTAAAGACAAAAAGCCATTCATGTGTATGTCAGAGTTGGTGGCCGGTGTATGTTTTTGTTAAACCGACATTTCTCTTCTATGGGGTCTCATCTTGATGGGGATGGGAGCGTTGGCGGATCTGGCATCAAAAGTTAAATTTAGCATGAAAAGTTTAATCGTTTACAACATAGTGGTCGTCCTTAAATGACGTCACTTTCATAGCAGGAGTGGGAGTTCGGACATCTGTGACGATCAGTGTTTCTTCCAGACTTTTATTCTCCGGGGGGGGGGGGGACTTTTTTCATGGGGGCGGACACTGTTAAATGTATATATGTTCTATATAAATTCCATTTCGTTCGGGGGGGGGGGGGTAGACTTTTTTCGGGGGGCTCAGCCGAAAAGATGCCTGTTCAATATATATATATATATATATATATATATATATATATATATATATATATATATATATATATATATATATATATATATATATATATATATATATAATTTAAATCAGCCCAATTAACATTTTCGATAAACGTATAGTGAATCGAGAAAAATTCGCAATAGGGGGAAAGAAGGTACACATCATCCAATAACTTGACGTTTTTTATGGAATACCACGAAGGCCTAATTTAAATGTTTTTTTTTTTATAAAATGTTCTATTATTAATGTTTCTTATTGTGTATTTGTATAAGTGCAAATCTTGACAGGGACATTTAAGCTTAGTGCTTACCACAATATGTAATGTCTATATCTAGCATTCCGTCCCCCCCCCCTCCCCAGAACTGAATCCGTGTATGAACGAGTGTGAATTGTATTTTAGTTTACGTTGCTTTTAACACTTTTCTATTGGTGGGAAAAAAAAATACAAAGTTTTTGTTGCTTTTGTGAAAACCCATTGTTTTGATAAATTAAATCCTACTGAAAGATATTTAATTCAATCATCCTGACTCATGTGTTGGTTTTTATTACGCTTGATATAACCTAAATGGTATCGAATTGTAACAAAAACGTTAAAAACCTACTCGTAGACTTTTTAAACAAAGTTTAAACAAGGTTTGAATAAATATTGCCCCAGACCTTTACAAAAACATGTATTGTTGTGTACTTGATCAACAAATTAATACACAATTTAAAAGATGTAGCCTAAATATAAAAAAAATGATAAGCAAATAAGTAAAATAACCAAAACTGATGTTGGTGAAAAAGTAAATAATAACTAAACCTAGTTTGCATTATTTAAAAAATATAATTTCAATTAAAAAGACACAAAGCATGTTTTAAACCCTGTAATATCTTCGATTAGATGTTTAAATCTTTGACGAGACCCCCGCCCCTATAGGCTAAATATAGTTTTCCCACGCTGTGGCGTGATTGTTAGGATTGGGAAGAACATCAAAATTGTCATTCAAAACATTGGGTGTCATTTTTATTTGCATCAGGCGTGACAAAAAATTGTGTTGAAAATTTGTTTTTTTATTTGAGATTGGCCAATGGGGAGTTCGTAAGTAACATTTATCTTAAAGATAGTGGCCTGCAGCAGAAGGAAGCTAGATCAGTAACAGAATATCAAGCATGAAATAAAGTGCGTTTAGGTTACGTTTACAATTTAAATTGTACCCAAGGACATCATGCGTAAATATATGTTTTAGTATTTGTTATGTGAACTTACACTTAATGTAAGAAAATGAAAATAAACATTGCCACAAAAAAAAAACAACAACATCCCAACTAAAGCTGCTTTTCATACAAGACCTTATCAAACCCAACACTGTTTAGACTCGCTCCAACCCATACTAGGTACACATATCCAACCTGGGCTGACTCACGACCCAAAACACTTTCTATATGAATCTGATTTCATTAAACGAAAGAACTCAAGAAATAAGAGTATATATTTTTATTACTGATACAAAGATATCACTGAAGAGACAACAACAAGTGGTCTACATCTAATAAAAATATAAAAAATACAAAAAATACAACCACATTTTTTTTAGATAAATCACAATAATTAGGTAGTCCAAACTGGCGAAAAAGTGCGTTTTATGGTCAGTTTTTGCGGTTTTCAAAAAAAATTTTCACTACTAGTTGTCCTATAAGAATAAAAATTATATGTCAATAAAGTTTAAGTCTTTATCCGTCGTAATCTGGTATTTTTATATTTGTAGCACATGTTTGAATGTGTTTTATATTTGTTTGAAAAGTATCAGTTACGTCAACAAATTTCACCGTTTTGCATGTACCGATCGACCCCACACTGTTTCATTTGGTTGCGGCTTCGCGACGAAGCATTGTAGAAGCATAATCTTAATGTCATTTTAAAGAGCGAATTGTAGTCTATCGTTTGATGTATAAATTGAAAAAATAACTTGCTTATTTCATTTTAAAAAATCAGTTTTTAAACTTTAAATGACGATATATACACGAAAACAAACTAATTCTGTTTCAATTTTTACACCGATGTAAAGTTCACTTTTATAACTACTTTGTGTTGTAAATTCAAGTATTTCTGATTTACGGTCGCGACGACGTGCCCTCAATAAACATATAACCCTCGAGTCAATTTTCAGCCCTGAGTGAGTAGCTCGCCCAACGGTTTTAAAGGTTGACGACCGATGATGCTAAACGGATTTTACCCTTGCTAGAGCCTTGAAACAAGTTGTAAGTATCATTTTTAAAGTTTCATTTCCATTTTAATAAATGAATTTTAAGTTTGAATGTCAGTTTGGTTTAATTAGTACACGTTATTAATGTAAATTTGAACGCTACTAGTCTACGGTTTTTAGCGTGTGAACTACGCTTGTACACAGGGTGTGTTTAGACGTGAAGCTATTTAATTCAGGACATTCTAGGGACTTAAAATATGGATGCACTTATAAGATGCTAGTGTTTACTAATTCTTTAAAATCTATCGAATGGGATTAATGATGGTGTCGTATTACTAAAGTTTATCTGGACTATCGCGTCAAAATTATGAATCGACAAATTCAAAATGGCCACCAGACAATCCTGGTTACTATGTGGACGAACTCAATTATTTTCAGGGAACGAAGGTTAAATACTTATAAAATATTAATGAAACATAGAAAAAAATGTATAATTATAATAACTATACATTTTTATCAATTTATTTAAAACAAAAGACACTAAATTTAAAGGACTAATGTGATTATTTTTTTTATTTTCTGTTGTGCACTCTGATTCTGATTCCCCTGCTGAATAATGTGAAATGGTCTGCGCCAGTCTCCGTAATAAAATGTACCAGATCAATTTTTAGATGGTGGTGCAATTTATTAAGATTCTTCATGTTGTGACTTACTTTTAAATGTTATATTAGTTGTAAGTGTAAGTAGTACTAGTAGTATTTCTCATTATTTATTTTATTTGCATATAGCACCAATGAAGGACACTTAAGTTGTCCTATAGGATGTTGAGAACCACAGTATGGCACCTTCATCATTGGATATCTCAACCAGTGTGGCACAAGCAACGAATATTTCATTCAGTAGAATGGACACCAGCGAGAAAAGTCTCAAAGGTATTTGAGAGGTGTATAAATTCATTTAAAAATCATGCACAGCGTAGTTACAATTAATATGGTTATAAAATCCTGTCTGTCTGGTTTTTTTTGGGTTTTACTAAAGATTGGATGTATTTGATGTTTATAATATTTTCGGCAACTAAATAAAAATTTAAAAAAAAGCAAAAACAATTTGGTTTTCACGTGTAATGGCGACATAAACAATGGCATCCTGCTATTGGATAGGCCGCCATTGATTTTATTGTACACATTGTAAGCTAAAAATAGAAAACTAGGTCATGGGGTTTTTAATTTGCATTGTTATTTAAAAACTTGATCTGCAAAGTTTTGTAAACAAATAGTTATCGATCACTAAGTTACTGTACAGCCAATCAATATTTGTCTTACGAAAGTGAAACATCCGGTTATAACTTAGGCTTGATGAAAATAAATAGAAATGTAGCCTTAAACTCAACAAATTATTTTCAAGTTCTCTGGATTTGCAACTTTTATAGCATTTATTCTAAAAATATAAAATTTCTAAATTAATTTTAGGCTTAAGTTTTTATTTTTTATTTTTTTTTATGGTCTAAATCTAAAAAGCACGTTTTTATTCCATGTCAACAATATTATGGAAGGAATCTCGTCAACTCGCTCGCCTCCATTACTATTAAAAATATACTATCGAGCATAAATTACTCTTAACAAAAAGGTGTTTTCAGGCTTTTTCATGTTTCCCGTTACAGTCATATGACATATAGTAGGCCTACACAATAGGCTAGTTGTAAATTTAATTATATTTTATTAATCACTAAATAAATTATTTATTCCATAGCTGGAGACATTTATGGTGGCCTATCAAGAACTTTCCTTACAAGGGAAGGGAACAAGGCCAAGACCCCCCCCCCCCCCCCCCACAGTTCCCAAAATGTATCGCTTACTCTTGATGCTCTACAAGATCAAGGTTGAGGGAAACAAGACTTACAAAGATGTGGAGTTGTCGTTTTAAAAACTGTTCCCCCAAAGCAGTTATCAACCCGATAGGTTTGAATGTAGCATCAACTGCTGCATCACTTGTAGACATCACGTCTTCATTAGATTACATTACATTTCTCCATTAAAGTTTTATTCTGTTGCTCCTGCACTAGATAACTGTGGCATTTTTAGAAATAATATTTTAACTCATGTGATTTTTGAAAATAATGAACACATTCTTCCTGTTAATATTACCAACACAATAGTTTTAGAGTTATTCAATGTCTAAAGCAAAAAAAAGAAAAAAAAATTGTATGAAAATAAAAGTGACCAAAACGCATTTGTGTCATTTTCAATTATTTTTTTTACCTTAGAAAGACTCATTTTAGATGACTGAAAAAAATTGGTCATATATATTGCAAACTTTACAGTAACTTTACCAATTTCTACACTTATATGTTATTTAGTTTAGAAAATATGGGTTCTCAAAAATGGCATTTTTTAAAAATCAGTTTTTTACCAAATTTTGCTTTTTTAAAAATCGCATAACTTTTTTTATTTATTGAGATATTTTTATAAAATTTGTGGCATAGAGCTTACAATTAAAAGATATTTTATGCCATACTCGCTCCAGAAGTCTGCAATCAATAGTTAATTTCAGTTTGGATTACCTACAATAATGTTTATGAATTAACTATTTAAAATAAACAAATGTTATTTGAAACGTATTAGTAATTTAAACAAAGTTCAAGGTTTAAGTAAAATAATTTTTTAAAAATTGTCCCAGATCTTTAATAAAAACTTGTGTTGTTTCTTACTTGATATACTTAATGAAAAGATTAATACATAATTTAAAAGACTTTATTAAATAATAATCAGCAAATGACTAAAATATTTAAAAACTGATTATGGATACAACAAGCTTGATAAATTTGCTCAGATGAAATAATTCTCAACAAGACATTTAAGAAGGCCATAAAAATATTTTTTTTTCAAAATATACTTATTAGAAGACTTGTCAACTTTGAGACAGGTAAAAAATACTATTATTGCACAACCATTTCTTCCCACTTTCTTTCAAAATTTTCTCTTTAGCTTCTTAAGATCTCTGTGGCCTAAAATAATATTTTCTTTTTTAGGTATAAAATTAATGAAATTTGTCAAAATGTTTAAGCATAGAAAATAATGAATTCATCACCATATAAAGCCGACTTAAGAAATATATTGGATTTTTTAAGTATACCAGACAACAAAGTTATTGGTTGGATTTCTGTCTATCTGTCTGTAGTGAATATAATCTTTTTTTAAATATACATGAAAATGATACATTCATTTGGCTATTTAAATGTTTTCCATAAATATGTTTTTATGCTAGATGTACTGCAGTTATGATTATCTAGAAATTTGGATAATTATATGAAGAGAAGAATGAATAAATAGTCAAAAGCATACAAACAACAGTGTGTATTAGTAGTAGGAAATAAATTAGCCAATTAGAAATAAAAATAATACTTCCCCACAATATTGATGGAAAAAGATGTGTGACCTTTAAAAATACAAGATATGAAAGTTATATATTCTATACAAAACAAAATAAATATATAATACTCACTTGTGTGCCCCAGGGACCCCCAGAGCTATGCCGGCAGGAGCCTAGTGCTCCTGGCAGGTCTAACCAAGTCGGACAGATCTGCGCGGGTAGGGGCCAGACCAAACGTTGTGCCCTGGTCCTCCAGGTTGGGGGTTGTGCGATGGGCTAACTACTCGTCCACATAAAACAAAAGACAGTTACAGAAACCAAAGACTTTGAGAAGGCCTTTGATAGTGTGGATAGGCAAACAATATGGAATCTGTTGAGACACTATGGTGTACCTGCTAAGTTAGTGGAAATAATCCAGCAACTTTACAATGGATTTTCATGCCAAGTTAGCCATGCAGGGAAACTGTCTAAAGAGTTCCAGGTCAACACAGGTGTGAGACAAGGATGTCTGCTGTCGCCCCTCCTCTTCTTGGTAGTTCTCGACTGGGTGACACGCACAGCCTATGCCAGTTCTGGAAAAGGTATTCAGTGGACACTCACGGGGAAACTAGAGGATCTGGAGTTTGCAGATGATCTTGCCTTACTCTCGCACAGGCTACAGGACATGCAAGAAAAAGTTGATGCATTAGGAGCCATCTCGCAGCGCGTAGGTCTGAAGATCAACAAAGAAAAGACGGAAATGATGAGAATTAACAATAAGCAGGAGGCTCCAGTGTCAATAGACGGAAGACAGGTAAATGATGTGCAAGAGTTTGTCTACCTTGGCAGCAAGATCAGCAAAACGGGAGGCACAGAGGAGGACATACGCGCTAGAGTTAATAAAGCCCGCTGCGCTTTCACAGTCCTGCGACCCATATGGAAAAGTTCGGCCATCTCCATTACCACAAAAATTAGGATATTTAACTCTAATGTCAAGGCAGTTCTGCTGTATGGAGCAGAGACATGGAGAGTCTCCAAGGCAAGCACAGCAAAGATACAGACCTTCATGAATAGATGCCTTAGACAGATACTGAAACTGAGATGGCAGGACAAAGTGCCGAACTTGGAACTATGGAGGAATGCTAGGCAGGAGCCTATAGGTGTGCAAATAAGAAGGAGCAAGTGGCGCTGGGTGGGTCACACACTGCGAAAGGCTCACACAAATGTTACACGCCAAGCGCTTGAGTGGAACCCCCAGGGAAAGCGGTAGAGAGGGCGCCCAAGACAGACCTGAAGGCGGAGTCTTCTTGAAGAACTGAAGCCAATAGGGATGTCTTGGGAGATGTCAAAATTAATAGCCGAGGATAGGAAGAAATGGAAGGAAATGGTGGAGGCCCTATGCTCCATAAGGAGCAAAGAGGACTAAGTGAAGTAAAGTGACTTTTCCAATTTCGGAAAAAATTCTGAACATTATTTGTAGCAGATTTCAGTTGATAAACAATTTAGTCAGTGAGATTACTGTTAATATATATTTAAGTATTGAAACAAATAAAATTTTATAAACAGAGTAAAAAATCTCCAGCATTTGTTACTATTGCAAATGTATGTAAATGTTACTTAATTGAACAATTAATATTATGTGTTTATAATATCTGTAATAAATGCATAAAACAGAAGAATATTTTAAAAAACAAACAAACCATATTACAGTAAATGCACAACAAAAATTGAGATATGAGCAAAAAATTAAAATATCACAATGTTTTACTGGCTGACAAAATAGATATATAAAAAAAAACACAAGTTACATTTTATTTTGAATAAGTAAACTTGTTATTTTAAGTACAATTGCAAAGAGCTTTTTCCCACCATTACTTCAGCAGGGAGCTTTTTGTCCAAAAAAAAAAAAAGAGCAGAGAGTGGATTACTCAAATTAAATTGTGCGTTGTTTTCAAGGCGATGTGGATATTATTTTAATTAGCAGAGAAGGAAAGAAACATTTACATGCACAAATACAGAGCAGGGAAACATTTTTTAATTATAAAAATATTGCAATGACCCAATGGGGTAGGTTAATGACAAGCATCAACCTTCAAACAGGTAACAAATTTAAATCCACAGTAAAAACAAAACTAATACAAATTACCAGGCTATTTTTCTATGCTGATAAAAATATATAATTAAGTAAATAATATTTTTCTTCTTCTAAACAACCTCTGCATAGGATTTTAAATTAAACAAGCAAGCGAAATTGAAATATATAAATTGAACAGCACAGTATAAACTATACCCTCTAAATATGGGAGATACATCATTATAAGTGTGATATAACTATATTTAACAACAATCATCACAATTGAAACTTCATATTATAGTAAATAGCATAGTACTTTCACTTATTGTTTAAATAACACAACAACAAGATAACCAAACTGGTAAAAGACTTGGTTCATGCTTTACACTAATACATTAGTGTTTGAGTAAAGCACAGTTTCACACTCCATGTGTTTTGACTGTGTGACTTACAGTTACCGTATAAATAAAAATTGTTGCACTAAAAGAGTATTTCAAATGTTACAAAGTTGGAACACTTTTAGCAATCACAAAGTATGGATGGTGTAGTATAAAAATAGTTTTGGCAGTTGTATCCTCTAATATTCTGATAAATATCTGTTTTAAAAATATATAAATATAAACAAAGTTGGAACTGGTACAGAACCCAAGCTATATAAATGTTCCTGGATTCTGCAATCTTAAAATATTTTTTTTCAACATTGATATGTTAAATATATTTTATATTTTTATGAGTTTGTATTTAAGCAAGTGGTTCATAAAGAAAGGCGTATCACAAATTCACGAATCTTAAACAATTGTGAAAGCTTTTAACTTAAATTATTGAAAAATCACCAAAACATATTTTACAGAGTGATAATTTTAAAAAAAAACATCGCATACAACAAAACTTTTACAAAATATATTTTCAGAACAACTTAAACTAACACTTAAAAATAAAACACTTGTATATTTATTAGGAGAAAATAAAATTCAGATCTTTTAAAATATATGTTGTTCATTGAAAACATGATAATCCTTTTATGTAAGCTTTTTAATCTGTATTACTTTTAAAAAAAACAGTAGTGGCTCTATTCTTAATTTAGCTAGCAGGAGAGCTGTGTGTTATGTGTGTTTTAGCTTCCACACCCTCCACCACACCCACCACCACATCCTCCTCCTCAACTCCCACCTCCACATCCACCACCATAATATCCTCCTCCATCACCACCTCCACCACAGCCACCACATCCACCACAACCCCCACACTCACCACCCCCGACACTACCGCAGTCAACACCACTAAAATCACTAGCCACAACATCCCCTCCACCACAGCCAGCGCATGCGTGTACCCCGTAGGTTTGTGCCACAAAATGATTGCTTGGATGGCCATCAGGAAGCCTGCAGCCATGATAAAGGCCAGGTCCTCAGAAGGAACATAGGTGACCTAGGAAACAGATAAAAACTAGTAACTTTAACACTGCATTTACACTTTTGACGTGTAAACTATTCATGTCTAGAAAAATAAGTCGCAGCAAGTAAGTTTACATGTTCTGTGGGAAAAATGTTATTTCTAGACATGTATACAAGTTGCAAGTGTAAATGTGGTGTAAGCAAGCATTCAGGTAGTAATTTAAATGTTCACAATACTCATGTACTTTAAGAGACAGTGTGGTAGGTGGTAGAGTGCCTCAGTGTTAACCTTGACTATTGACAAGTTCCAAATATGGGGATGATACATATATTCATCTCTTCAATAATTTGTATTTAATACATCAGATACTAACATTTTAAAAACCTCTGAATGTTATTATATCACTAGGCAGTCTGGCTAACAAAAAATAACTTTTATCTACATCTGAAAGTTAACACATACCACTTTTGTTGATATTTTCATCTTTATATATTGTTAGATCTCATGATAAATTTTTTTTAAAATTTAGACAATGTTTTAAGCTTTGTCTTCAATCAAAACAACCTAATTTTATTATTAATTTATAAAACTAGGGTTGTTTTTTGTTTTTTTAAAATAGATTTTCCATGGCCACAACGAGCTATTTTTGTTGTGATTTTAAATCTTTTAACTTGTTCAATTTAAAAAATTAATGTGTAAAAAAAACATACAACAAAAATGTGAGTAGCCTAGTTATGCTTACCTTTTTTGTTCCACGAGTTTCAGCACAGGACTCTATAGTCTTTCCAGGCTTCCAGTCCTTAGGGCGGGGCTGGCACAGCACATGCAGCAAGGATATGCTGAAGGCCAGGGCTAGAGCCTCAGCCACATCATCACAGTGCTCATCCACCTGGTGCAAAATTTCATCAGAGCAGTTACAAATTTAGAACTTCATTAACTCACAATCTTTAGTCATGTTACAATTGTATACTCTTATACAGGCTTTTGTCATGGCAGTGACAGTTGTGTATATTTTAAATTTTTTGATGGCAGTGATTACCTACAATAACCATTTGCACATGATTTATGCCAATAATTACTTACCGTGACAATACACTATAATTACTGCCAGTAATTATTTATTATAACAATTTGCTCCTGATTGATGCCATTAATTACTTACAAAGAAAATTTTCTCTGATTGATGCCATTAATTACTTAAGACAATTAGTTCTGATTGATGTCATTATTTTCCATGAAAATTTGCTCTGATTAACGCCATTAATTACTTATGACAATTAGCTCTGGGTGGTGCCATTAATTACTGACAATAGCTTGGTCTGATTGATGTCATTAATTACTTACAAAGAAAAGTTTCTCTGATTGATGCCATTAATTACTTAAGACAATTAGTTCTGATTGATGCCATTAATAGCTTACCATGACAACTCCTGCCTTGAGGTCAATGCTAACCCCAGCAACACTTAACGTGTAAATGGAACGGTCATATGAGAGCACGACTTCTTGAAGATCTCGTTCTTTCATTCTCCAGATCTTCACATGCAGAGTTCCAGCATTTCCATGCACACCTCTCCTGCCAGCCCTACCTGGGGTACCTGTACAATTTACAGTTTTGTAAATTTACTTTTGAAGAGTGGATAAAACCTTTCACTTTTCAACAAGCTTCAATAAATTTTTCAAGCCAAAATTAATCAAAGCAGCAAAATAATAAAGCTTCCCATTTTAATTTTCTAAAGTCAAAGTAATTTTTAACCTATTGAACCCATGGTACCGCTATTTTTGTCAGTCTTAAATCTTTGTACCCTAACAGAATGATAAATCGCTCTAGGACACCTTAACCCAGATCAACAGTCCGTACATAAAAATGCTAAATTAAAAAAGCACGTAACTAAAACTGTTTGACTTGTGGTATGCTCCTGTCATGGCTGTTCCCACAAACTAATTTTTTTGTTCTGTTTTTCATTTGCAATGTACAATGAAAAGAGACTATTTAAAAATTCCAATAATTGGCTTTCTGCTTGTCTACACCTACATGTGTCTGAAAGAGGGATCTACCTGCATACTAAGTAGTAATATTGGCAATAATTCATGTACAAGGTTAATTAAATTAACAAAATTAACTTTGATGTTATACTTGTAATCTTTTTTTTTTACTGAGAGTCTATTGCTCAAAGGGTATGGGGATTTTCGAGTCAGAAGCTAAGGGTTCAAAAGGTTAAACCAAACTTAACCAAAGCAGCAGGTTGATAAAACTTTTCATTTTAAAAAACTATAAACAACTTAATTATTAAAAAAAAAATCTTACTGTCTACTCCAGCAACCCCTCGAGTTTGACCTATCCATCTACCAACCACTGCAGCCCAATCCCCTGAGTGGTTCTTGATAAGAACTGCCCTGTCAGCTGCTCTTGGGTTCAAGGTCACACACTGTTTTCTTTTTTCTACCTGGTTAAGATAAGGCATTCACACATCAGCATTGATTCAAATTACCTTTTCTTAGGTGAGTGGTTAGTAAGTTTTAGAAATAAAAATTAAAACTAATTACAGTTTATGTGTTTCCATGTTCAAAGCAAAAATGTTGCTGTAACTCCACTGCATTAGTTTACCAATAATTAAATAATTTTTTTTTTAAATTACATGAAAAAAATAGAGAAATTACACTTTAATATGTATTCAAAGTGATTTAAAATCAATATTAAAAAGCTTTTGTTTAAAATTTAATTTGATTTAAGGCAGCACTTAAACTTTCTATGAAAATATAACTCTTAGACATTATAAATTGACTTGCTTGAATGGGGGTCGGCAACTGGTCAGTGCCCACTAAATGACCAACAGCCACCATTTTGTCCTGGTAAAATACATGTACAGCTGACTGAAGCAATGGCTGGGAGTGGATCAGGCGACATGTGAACAATGGCACTCCTCTGTGGTTAGTCACCCTGAAACAAATTTTAATCAAATTAAAATGAAATAGATGCAAACCTTTTAATTAAAGAAAGTGTTGGTAAATTCATAAAGAGACATATCAACAGCATTTATTTTTCAAAAGTACCCTGTATTTAGTTATCTAAATTTGATTACCTCCCCTTTCATTATAATGACTATTTCAGGGAGAGAATGCAGTTTTTGCTTACTTGTGAGATGCCACTTCACACCAGTTTTCTGCCCCAGGTGGTAGACGTGGGAGAGGGATAGGACCCCACATACTTTCTAAGTGCTCTGGTATGACAGCTCTCTCATACAGGCCTGCCTTCAGGTACAATAATAAGGGTCCCTTCTTCACTGGGCCAATGTTGACTTTAAAGTCTATCTGTTAAATTATTTTTTAAAAGAAAGAAAAAGAAAAAGAAAGGTATAATAAAATGTATTTCTAATAGGAACAGAGTCTCTTCCAGGCAAAATATATACTTTTAACACTTTTAACAGTGTGTGTGTGTCTCCCCCCCCCCCCCCCCCCCCCCCAAAATTTCAAGTGCCCCCCCCCTCCGGAGAAAAAAGTCTGGAAGAAACAACACTGAATAGGAATCAACTAAAAAAAAGAAAATATCAGTTTAATTATACATAAGTAGAGGTGAGTGCTTGATTTTTTAAAAAAATCCCCCCCCCCCATTTCAAATGAAAACTTGTGAAGGTATTAAATATTTATTCTTTTAATGTAAAAAAAGTTTTTTTAAATATAATTTTTTAACATCGTCCACAGTGTTATAAAAAGTCATGAGGCACCTTATGTTCATGACTCCTATTTCTGTTTTTATTTGATGCAAAGATACTAATTATATACAAATAAAGGCACCAAAATTTTATTATCAGGAGCATTGCTGTTTAAATGTAGACATTTTTGTGTACAGGTTACAAGTTTTGTGATAGTCACAGAATGTAACAATAGTGTTAATATAAAAACAAGGACATTGACCCAACCTACCTCCTCACAAAAAACCCTCCTTGGACCCCGTTCCTCTATGCGGATTTTATAAATCGATGCATAAACAGGCTCTGGTCCAATAAAATCCCAATAAAGGCGGATATGTTGAACTGGAGACCACTTTGCAGTTTGTCTACAAAAAAGTTAATAAAAACAATATGGTAAAAACTTGACCTTAAAGTTCCGGTGCTGGGTGGTGATAAGCTCCTGCGTGGACCTCTGTCCAAAAGGGATGGCTTCAAGCACTGGCAGCATGTCAAAGGTGGTGCTCATGATAGTTACTTCTGAGTCTGGGCCAAAGAAGCCCCAACCAACCACATCTAGCAGGCTGAACATCAAGCAGTTTACAGAGCGGGTATTGAAGTTCACATGGAAAAGTGACTTGCTCTGCCAAACTTTTTTGGGGCCTTTGAGGGTTGAGATGAGCTTCTCCTGTATAAAAAATATAATAATTCATATGAGGCCATCTTTTGGAAGTAACATAAAAACAGTCTTTTAAAAAATGACAAGCTTAGTTGATGGATGGGGGAAGTAGTATGAATTTTTTTTTCTATTTAGAGCTCTAAAAGTAAAGGTCATTATTCAGCCTAGAGGTGGTCTAGGGCATTTAAAAGGCCTGAGAAACTCTTTTCCCTTCATTATAAATGTATGTAAAAAAAAATCAAAGGAAAGGAAACAAAACATGTATTACCAATTTTTTAAAGAAATGTATTAAATATTATTGCTAAAATAAAAATCAAGTACTTCTGCTAACAAATGTAAAGCCAACAAAAAAAAACATCAAATTTCTTTCTAAAATGTTGACTGAGTCTGGCTAGTATATTAATTTCAATTACATTTACAAAAACAGTTTTCAAAAATGTGAAATTATGGCTTACATTCTGTTTCTAAAATTACCTTTTTTTACTGTCTCGTATATACGAAGTATAAGGAAAGTATTGTAATCGTGCAAAAACAAAAATCGAGATTTTTACAAATCTCAACGTTTTACACCTCACTGAGGTCTGTGTGTCTGTGTGTCTGTCTGTGTGTGTGTGTGTGTGTCTGTCCGTGTGTAAACACGATTACTTGAGTAGGGCCTACCCTTACAGCTAGGTTGATGAAATTTCATATATAAGTATTTTGTCAAAATCGTAGTTCCTGATCAACTTTTGAATGATTCCCGATAACCGGAAGTGGTACTTTTCCTACTTTGAATTTTTCAAAAGCCTATAACTGGAGTACTATTTCAGATAAATGAAATTTCACATGTAAGTAAAATATCTAATTCTCTACCTTCTGTTAAATTTTGAGTAATTTCCGTTGCCCAGAAGTAGTAAATTTCGCTACTTCCGATTTCTCAAAAAACTAATGTAAATTTTTAAAGTACTAATAATATTGCGCACTATTATGCATTTTTTTATTTGGCGTTTACTTGGTGTGCAATTCTTTTGTCTACGAGATTTTATTCTATTTTTAAAACTTAAAGTATTTAAAATGGATTAAAAATCATGTCTATAGCCCAAGTTCCCATCCCCCGTTATTTTATATAAGAATATTTGAGAAAGTTTTGGGGAGATCACTCACGGTTTATTTAAAATGCAAAAGTGTGACTTCACACTATCTGCCTATCTAAATTCCCCCCCCCCCCCCCTTCAAAGCCAAAGTCAAGAAACTTCAAAGTCAAGAAACATGAACTCTGATTCATCTGCCCAATAGATCACTAGGTCTAAATAGGACACACCCAAGATTTGAGAAAATTGTACCTGCTTTGAATTGACTGCAGTGGACACACTCAAGCGAGGCTTGCCTATGGTGGCTGGAGATGCTTTCATCTCCACTCTTTCAAAAGCTAGGTTTGATATTCTGGTTCTCATCAGCATGATTTCTTCTGGCTTGATTGTTTGCAGCTTTCCTACTGGGTTCTCTCCCCTGTACATGGCTCCAAATAAGGCAAAGTTCTCAGAAAACACTTCTTTCCAAGCCTGATATGGGATGAATTTACCAATTATTATTTAACATTTTATCCACTGTTCAAACTTTGATCCAAGTTCCTCGAAGAAGTAGAACATAAAATATTACTTACTTTAATAAAGCTGTTTAAAAAAAATTACTCTGGAAGCGAGTAGAATTTAAATCATCAAAACTCTGCATGCTTGATGCTTATTTAAAGTGTCATTAAGGAAAAAGTAAAATTGATTCTTTGTTATTACTTCTACAGGGTAATGCTTCTGTATTTTTATTATTTCTATCTGTTATTACTCTTACAGGGTTATGCTACTGCAGTCTAGTGCTATTTCTATGTAATCTGTTTTATGTTAATAAAATTAAATTATGAAAAATGGTGATTTGTTAAATCTTTAATAAATCAGTTACAAGACCAGATAAGCACATAATTACTAAAAATACTAATATAAATCATGAATCTTGATCAATCATTAATTCTTTGATCAAATCTTGAACCCACCCAGCTATGATGGGTCCTAGTGAAGAGTATTGATAGTCATCTTAACCTTTTATATGTATTATTACATTACATCATTGCTCTGTAAAACTTAAATAATCTGAAAATGAAACATAAATATCAACATGGTGTGGTGAGTGTAAGCTAAAGACTCACTTCTCTTGTAGCCAAGTCAGAATTGTAAAGCTTGGATCCCTCATTCCGATCTGTGACACTGTCATCATGGTTAAAAATTTTATTGAACAACCTCTCCGTGTCCTCTTTGTAAGTCTTAGGGTAGAGCTGATGTGTGTGCCACATTAGATCAATGTCGTAACAGGGAACTATGAACATGTTTGGTCGCTGAGTCTTCAGGTACAGAAATTTTTTGTACCTGACAAGGGAACTCTCCAGAAACTTTTTATCTGTGTAGTGGGGCAGACTAACCTGGAGTTTAAAATGTAATGTTATACACTGTTAAATTAGCCAATGCTTCTTTAAACATGGAACCAAATTTCATGCAGTAAGTGAACAATAAATATATATTTATATTATATTAAAGAGCACATCTTACAAAAGATAGACTAATTTTTAAATAAAAATATCCGTTAATTAATTTTTTTTTTTTTAAAGTGAGTTTGAGTGTTTGAAACAATATAAAAGTGTGGGTTTCACAACTTGGGAAGCAACAGAGTACTTTTCATTTTTTTAAGAACCTGATCAGAAATGTAATTGAATTAATTGTTGAGTAAAACGGCTTTGAAGTTTTTTTTCAAGAAGAACAGATTAGATCTGAGGATACTTCATTTATGATAAATTGTGCCAGAAATGATTTTGTAATAAACTCTTTTAAAGAAAAACAGGATTAAAAAATTCTCCATCAATTTTTTTAAATGGCACAAAATGAATACAGTACCTGATAACCAAATTCTTTCTGCCGACCAGCAGCTTCTAGAATGTTGTAAGAGAAAGTTGTCTGCCCATTTTTATACTGCTGTATCAGAAATCCAGTGTTCAAATCCATTTCAAAAGGGTCATTAGGATATTCTTTCTCCCAAAGGCGCTTTGTTTCTTGCAACATCTTTGATCGTGTACTTTTATTTCTTTCTAAAGTGTGATCAACAATCACACCATCCAGTAACTAGGAATCATATAAGAAAAAGGAATAAACATTTCAATTTTAAAAAATATGTCAGTCCAGAAAGTATAAAATGTAAATCATTTATTTATTAGTTGAATTATAGTCTGCAGAATGACATACAAATAGTTCACTATCAATGCAAATGTTTAATAGAAAAAATATCTTGTTTTTTTTTAAATTTCTAATTTGCTAAAAAAAAAAAAGGAATGAATAAGAAAGATGTTTATGTTAAACTTACTCTGACACAATCGGCACAGTACGAGGCTGGTGACAGCATGTGACAGTGCCACACCCAGGCTATATCTAGCGGCGCTTCCAAAACCTTTTTCTTATGTTTAGCTGCCAGAGGTAACCAAAAGTACTGGTACCTATACAGTGCTTGACGCAAAAACCTTTCATCTCTCAAAACTGTATGCTTGTCACATTCTTCTAGAAACTGTAAATGATTGAGGGCCGATGCAACCAAGTCGATATTTATCGAAATGTCTGTGTATGATTTCATTTTCAAGCAGGGATATCAGTCACACATCCTACACAAGGTCTAGATTTTTGTAGTTCTCTAAAAAAAATTAATTAAATAAACAAATTGAAAAGAACATATTTAAAAAATGAAACTAACCTATTTTATGTGACTAAAGAACAACTGAAAACAAGTAGATCTAGATACATTTTATCAAAACCAAAGTACCTCTTTGTATAAAATAAATTAAAATGTACAACTATAAAAATGAACCCACCCTTACTATGAAATACGACATTGCAGCTGTGATTTTAATGAGCAAATATAATATGTATATAATAATGTACTATTATTAATAAGGCAATTAATTATAATTTTAGCCATCAGTGCTCGGGGACAAAAGGGTCAGTCATCTGAAATTTGTAGCCTCTCTGCTTGTTTATGTTAACCTTCTTCATAATTTCCCAGTTGAGTATAATCCACTTTTTGCCAGATGTTTCCTGGCATCACCTTCCAATGTTAGAATATAAACTTTATATTATAAAGAAATGAATTATTTCATTTAAATTTGATTTAAATCTATAGATCTACTTATTAAGATGTATGTTATGAAATGTATACAATTTTCTTTAAAAAACAACATAAATACAGTTGAACAGCCAAGTTTATAGCTGAATCATTTAAGTATCTTAAAGTGTGTGCATTTAATATGGTGTTGTGTTGACTAATAATGTATATAATTTGGTTTTTCTTATAGGTATTGGTAGCCTATGTTATTTTAAATCAGTGTTTCTTCCAGACTTTTTTCTCGGGGGGGGGGGGGGGCACTTGAAATTTTCGGGGGGGGGGGGGGGGGGGGGCGGTAGACTTTCTTTGGGGGGCGGACACTGTTAAAAGTATATATTTTCTATATAAATTATACAAATTTCATTTCGTTCGGGGGGGGGGGGGCGGTAAAAAAAATTTCGGGGGGGGGGGGGGGGGGGGGCTTCTTCTCTGGAAGAAACTCTGTTTTAAATGTGTCGGATTTTTAGCTAATTAGTTATTTCTTTGCTTTGTCACTAATATTGTTCTACGTGTAGTAAAGCACATTGCGTTTTGACCAATAACTATTTTATAAAATATTTTTCTCAAACAAGTATAACATTAAAATATATAGGCCTATAATTCAAGTGTAACAGGTACCAACTGCTAGTTCTGAAGTTAGTTTTGGAATTTAAGTTTAAAATTTTAACTATGGTGAAGTCTAATTTGAGACACAGGACTACTATTGTGAAAGGTACTGTTAAAAGGGAAGCAGATTCAATATATCAAATTGCTGAATCTCAGATCAAACAGGAAACAACCCATTACCGTAGTACACAGTAGCGTACGCAGGGGGGGAGCAGGGGGAGCGGCCGCTCCCCCTCTGGCCATTTTCAGCAAAGTGGCGCCTTTTTGGAAAATTTTTAAACTCAGAGTTTTACACAATGATATTTGTTAAAAAAATATTTTTGGTCGGCACATCTGTCTAAATCACAAGATTTCTTTTCATGCAGCAATTAAGCATTAATGTACTAGTCTAGTAGTGTCTACGTTTACAACACGTATTAACAGCTGCATCAGTTTGCCATTCTAAAAATAACCATTACGATGCATTGCAATGCTTAAAAAAACCTCTACGGGTAGTACCACTTGGCAAGAGGGGTGTTAAGTTTAAGTCAACTGTATAATGTATTTGCTTACGAATAATTGAATTAGAAAATGTTATACATGAAACTTCACACATAATTACTTTATATATACAGTTTGAATCGTGTGATTAATTTAAAAAAAAATACAATACAGAAACAAATACAACTGATGTGGCACCTCTATTTAAATTTACTTATGGGCAAACTGCGTAGCGGTGGGGCAATTTTGACAAGGTCAACAACGTCGTCACGATGAAGTAGTAGTATTCTTACAGTTTGGGCGATAGTGGTTAAGATTACAAATTATATGAAACAGTTACAACCCCCCTCCCCCATGGACCCTCTGTAAAAAAAAATATTGTTATAATACCACTGCTACAAATTTAAATCTATTTCTGAATCAGTATACACGTGTAATACATATGTATGTTTAGAACAGTCATCTAAAAACTGACGCTATGTTCACTCTGAGTTGGTTATCTCCCCCCCCCCCCCACACACCTCACCACCACAATTGTGTATAGCGACATTAATGTCACACCTAAGTATACACTGGGTTGGATAATTGACCTAAAGTGACCGGACAGTGGTGAATGAAGTTGAACCCACCCCTCCCCAACCCAACCCGAACTGATCTGTTAAGTACATGTAGAAAAACGCGTAATGATGTACCAAAGTACCATGCCGCCAGAAAATTAGCTTTTTAAACGTAAAACTCTGTGAATATTGTTTTTGCAATTACCAGTAAAAAGGTGTGTGAACAATACAGTGATCTAACCCATAGCTATCACTATGTTAAAAAATCATCTTTAAAGAACACAAAGAAGCAGTCGTTAATTAAAATATATGATCTGAACTAAAAAAGACCGGTATTTAGTTAAATGTAGGCTGTTATTCCGAATGTTATCCTATTAAATCTAAAAGTGTTGTTTTATACCAACTCTGATTTCAAATACTTTCATTATGCTTTACTACTTTAGCATTTATGGTGACGATATATTTAATTCTGATTACAGACAAAAATATTTTGTAAACCTGAATAGTGATAAATAACTTCAGTATATTTTAAAGTAATTATTTATTTGTTTTGTCATTTATAATAAAATGTGTAGATATATACATATTTATATTAAGAGAGTGATTATTTCTCCTATTTTACTTGTCTTAAATAATTTCCCAGGAATTATTATGTAAGAATTTTTTTTACAAGAATTACAAAACAGATTGTGTTACGTTCATTGTATTGTTTTTGGTTGTAGTGTGTGTATATTTTGTTTTTTTTTTTTTTGGTTTAGATTGATACAATTTATGATTTGTCGGCCTACATTGTGTGTTTTTTTCTTATTTCTTCAGAGTGCTACTTTCAATTTATTTTACATCATAGCGAAGTAATGACATACAGCTAGTAATTATATATATATATATATATATATATATATATATATATATATATATATATATATATATATATATATATATATATATATATAAAATACACGTATATAGAACGTGTTAAAAATTCGGCGCCTTTTTTTGCACTTTTCGCTCCCCCTACAACGAAAACCTGGATACGCCTCTGGTAGTACATTAAAAAAGGTTAGATTTAGGTTTCTGATTAGAATTGGGAGTTGTAGTATCAATATCTGTCATACTAATTTCATTATAATACTCTCTTTAAGGTTACCTCTAAATCCAAAGTCTAGACACTAAATGTTTAAACTAGACATTGGTATAACCTACTATAGAATCAAAGCCAAAGTGCACACTAAAATGTGGCCTACTATGTTATTGATACTAAACACTATTGACAGTCACTAAATTTTAAGTACAATATAATAGACCTACTGACTTATTTGATAACTGAATATTCCTGAATATTCCTACATTGACATCAAGACTCCACAACACAGAAATTACAGCAAATGTACAATAATAGGATGCAGATCTAAATGTATTGACTGCATACATTAAGTAACATGTGCAGAATAACAGGACTGGCAAGTATGGTAATGGAGAGTGTGTGGAAGGGAGATCCCCTTTTTGTAATAAGTTTTTGAGCTAGGAAGTTCAAAATAGGTCAAGCGTGTCTGTACTACCTTGTTCTCTTATAAATCTAAATCTACATGTAATAAATCCAACCTGCCTAACAAATTGAGCCTCTAGGGCGGCGTCACTAAAATAAAATTATTTAATAAAATTATAAGTTGAATAAGAGTGCTTGAATGAGTTTAGATAAAATGAAGCATTAGATAGACATTACTAAGTCACATAGACTAGATCGAAGCTATGCATAGTTGTAACGGATGACTGAACAAAATGGCCTATTTTTATGAGCTAGCTGACAACAGTGAGGAAAGCATATGGAGACGGAGGCAGGACTGTCATGGAGGACTGCCAGGAAATTGCCAGAGACCGACAAAAGTGGAGGGAGATTTTTTAGGCGGCAGCATGTGTCTTAGGCACAAAAAGGAAAAATATGATGATAACAACAGTGAACTGAAAAAATAAATTTAAGTTTATATTCTGCCATTCATCTCCAAGACACATGTGGCAGATTAAGTAGAATTTATTTGTTTAAATTAAATTACCATTTTTTTTAATGACCATGGCATATCATGAGATAGTGTGGTCAGTACTATGCCCAGCCACCTTAGCCAGGTACCCATCAGGGTTGGACTCTGGGATGTCATACAGACATATTTGATTAAAGGCAATGCAGCGGTATACCGCGTATACACTTACGACATGTATACTATACATTTCCAGAACACAAAGCCCGCCAAAGGTTATTTTTATCTGGAACAATTTTCTCCACAGAACATGTATACTTTAGCGTTCACACTTGCAGAACATGTTATACAACATTTTATAAAACAAGCATGACCTTTGACCTGGAGCGTCTGCTATATAGGCCCAGATAATTAAAATAAAGAGAAATCAAAGTAAAAAAAAAAAAAGATAGTGGGCACACAGGTTTTTTTTAAAAAAAGGAAAATGGTGTAGCCACGGTGCTTGCCAGAGCCGGCGTTAAGAATACGCGGGGCCTAGGGCCAACCATCAGCGCGGGGCCTGCTTTCTTCCATTATATATATATATATATATATGTATATATATATATATATATATATATATATATATATATATATATATATATATATATATATATATATATATATATATATATATATATATATATATATGTGTGTGTGTGTGTGTGTGTGTATATATATAGTCCTATATAATATGCATACACACTACACACATAATAACACATAAATGTTTTGGAGTCTATAAGACTTTAATAACAGATGTTTAGCTCTCCCACGTTTTAACCCAATGTTCTTAGTGTTTTTTTTTCTTGCTAAGATATTAAATCACTTTTGACAGATATGTAATTCATACCAAATCATTTAAGAAAATTCAATC